CCCCCCCCCCCCCCCCCCCCCACTCTCTCCAAGTTTTGCCAGTTTCCCTTTGCGAATGCCTGTCCCAGGAAGGTAGCTTGACAAAAATGGACGAGAAGATATAACTTATAAATCATCATTATAATTCAGCTTACCTCCTGATTTCTTGAATCTCAGCCTCACATTAGCTTGACCTACACAGGCAAGGACTGTAGAGCAGCATATCACAATAATGCCACCAACTCCACAAACTGCAAAGCGAGGGATGCTGCAACAATTTACAAAAATCAACATACAATCTTACTGAAAATCCTTGATTCACCATAAACTGGATAAGAAGGGCAATCTAGAAAAACAGTGTGATTGAGTAAGTGAAAGAAAGCCAGAACAATTAAGAGGGGTAAACTTTTTACGAAAACAAAAATAGACAAGACAATGTGTGCAAGCTTTTCATATTCTAATTTCAGAGTAAGAAGGTAAAGGATTATGTACAAACAAACAACCAAGATTACGGTATTACTCAAGATCAAAACAAGGATTAGCAAATTGGTGAAGAATACATTCTCAGGTCACCACCTGGATAGACGTTCAGAAGAACAAGTAGATACCAGCAGAAGAATCCCTACACATACGAAAGTGATAGCCCAAGAAGAAAGTTTTTGCCTCCTGACTTCATCAGAAGAACCTGCACCAATCCATAACATTTCTAAACTAAATGCAGACTATACATCATCAAGAATCCATTGGAAGAAGAGAAAAAAAAGAGAGAAAGAATCTTGAGATCTGTTTTGTTTTTAATAAAAAAAAGGGGAAAACTCTCAACCATCCAGGATACACAAGTAAATGGTAATTTTAGAGTGGGGGGGAGGGAGGGTGGAAGTGCTTGCAAGACTATAGTGTGTGTGTGTGTGAGAGAGAGAGAGAGATTTCATAATTTTCCCGATGCACTATTCTACCAATTTGTTAAAGAAATGAGCAGATTCATAATTCTATCAATATGTTAAAGAAATGAAAAGTTAGTAATTTCACCAATATGTTAAAGAAATGGGCAGATTCAAATTTCACCAATTTGTTAAAGAAATGGGAAGATTCATATTTTCAATAATTTATTATTAAAATGGGCACAGTGTTGTCAAGTTGTCACCTAGGCGACGACTAGTCGCCGACTAGTCGTCCTGGCGTTTTTGGATTGGCGACTAGGGCAGACTAGGCGATAGGGCGAGTAAAGCGACGCTTAGACGCGCCTAGAAGACGCCTAGTCGGTGAGGAAAATTGCCCAATTTGACCCAACCCAATTTGACCCGACCCGACCCAAATTTCATTACGCAATCCAGTGAATCGGCATTCTAGATTCAACCCCTCCCAGGTCGCGACTCTCCTTGGCTCCATCATCGACTTCTTCCAGCACTTCCATTGACATCTTCACAAGCTCTCTATCATAATGTTGGATGATGATATTTGATAACTCAAAACTTGGAATTAAATATTTTAATGTCTTTTGACTTCTTTTTGTGCTAATTATCTTTGTTGGTGTGTTATTTTTGGAGATTAAAAGATATTTTTTTATGTACTCTTCGTTATGTGACTTTATGTGCTATCTTCAAACGTAATTTTGCTTTGGTAATGATATTTTGTCATTTAGATATATATAGTTATTTTGGGTGAATGAAGATATATATAATGTTAAAATTTTCAATACTAATTGTGATTTGTCGACTAGTCAACTAGTCCACTATTCTCCTCGTCCCCAACTCGACTCGACTTGTCGACTTAACAACCATTATGGGCAGGCTCCTAAGTTGCTCTAATAAAATTTCACTCATCCTTGAGTTTGATCTTATGTCACACAAAATTTTCAAGTGACAAAATTCTCTTCATGGTAATTGAATAATGCAAAACAAAAAAAAGTGCAAATGTCCAAAAACATATTATAGAAGAACCAGTTTAATTGAATGCACATACACGGAGTAAATATAATAACAGTGATACCTTGAGCTGCCTCTTTTAGAAGAAGAGGGCATTCGGCCCCATGAGGAGGATGTTCACAACTACTGTGAGTAATCCTCATTGATTTAGTGTTTTCACCATCGACTCCAAGTGCATTGTTATGGCGTACCAATGATGATGCAGGTGTTATGGATTGCTGGAGCAATGACGGGTAAGAGAACTCATCTGGGGGAACATATCTGACTACCAATACAGAAATAGAAACAGTAGTAAATGCAAGTAATGTTCCCACACTAACCTGCATAAAGAGCAACAATTTCCCCATCTATTCTTAAATGATTTAAAACATTGTTATTTCTTAAACAATTGAGGTTTTCCACTCCATCACTTACCATCCCTGCCAATTGTGAAACGTCCATAAAGAAGGCTAGGGCTGCAATGGAAACCCCAGTTACTAAGGTGCTCTTAACAGGAACTTGGGTGTGCTCACTGATGTCTGAAAAGAAGGAAGGCAGTAATCCATCCCTACCCATTGCCATCAGAATTCGAGGCTATTTAAAGGTCATAACGAGAACAAAACAAAGGAAAAGTTCCAAATATTCAGGAGCAAGAATTACATAGTGGCAATCATTATCAAAAACAAAATCCCAAACATTCAAGATTATGAATTTCATAGCAGCAACTGGCAATAATGATAATGAGACAATCAGATTCGCAAAAGTTACTTTATGGATAATATAAATTTCACAGGATACTAAAAAGGGAGATAAATCTGTTATCAAAATTTCTGTGGTGAAGAGTCTAATAGAAAGAATTGGCCTATCCATAATTTTGACAAACATAATCACCAGCAGTTTATGTCATTCCTTTCCTAAGTGGCTGACTGATTATGCCTCTGTTTGGCATTAGCTTTAGCTTTACTATTTTGAAAGTTAATCTGCACCATTAAGAATTATTCAAAATGCTAACGCTAATCACAAACAATATTTCCAAACGAGGCCTACCCAGGCCTGGTCTTTTCACTTGACTTTTTTGAATCATTTTGTACTGTTTGTTTTGTAACTAAACTTTACTGATTTTTCTGAACCTCACCAAACTTTTCTGAATATCATGAACTTTAGACATTTTCGGAATGAATTTTGTGATTCTATTTTAAGTTACTTCTGATTATCTTAGTTTTAAAAGTTAATATTGATATACTTTTGAGTTAACTATGAATAAATTAATAATATGCAAATTAGACTAAATTTGAAGTTTTATTAATATATTTCTAAGTGATGGAGGGTCGCATCTAGTGTCTACAAAACTAAAAGGGAAGTTTTATAAAACCGGGTATGTTGTACCACATCAAAAACAACAACACCCCAGCTGCATCCCGCAAGAGTAGGGTCTGAGGAGGGTGTGTGTACAGACCTTGCCCCTACTCGAAAGTAGAGAGACTATTCCCCAAAGAACCGGGTATGTTGTATGGAACAAAATGTTGTCCAATTAAGAAAACCCGTGTGTAGGTCCTGCAAAGATACTGGGGGGATAGAGTACGAAATAAGTTTATGCATCATGCATGACTAGGTGGGTGTGGCTTCTATGGAGGATAAGTTGTCTAAATCAACGTTAAGATGGTTCGGGCACATGCACAGAAGTAGTGATGTCCCTGAGAAGAGTTGTGAGATGTTAGTAGTAGTGAATTTGAGCCTTTGAGGAAAGGTAGAGGTAAGCAGAAGAAGAAAAGAAGAGTTTGTGTGAGGTCATTCAACATGACATTATGCTTCTTCAGCTTACTGAGAACATTGCCTTAGATAAAGGAGCGTAGAGATCAACAGCTAAAGTTGTAGAATAATTCATCCTCCTTGTAGCTTAGGGTTTAAGAGGGCAGTAAGTGTAGTAGGGTTTCATTATTGCAGTCCTTATCCTTTTGTGTCATCATTTATTCTTCCTTCTTCATTCTCTCATATATGTTTCCCTCTTCCATCCTTTAATGTCTTTGATCTCTATCAGGTTTTGGTTTGTTTTTTTTGAGCCGAAGTTCTTTCAAAAACAGCTTCTGTACCATTTCTGGTAGGATAATGTCTGTGCACATCCACCAGCAAACCCCACACGTGGGATTGCAGTCATTGCACTAGGCTGTTGTTGAAGATGAGGATAACATATATGCATTCTCCAAAATGATCTTCACATGTAAAAATGATATGACTTCAAAGAGTATGATGATAATTGTATTGAAAGTATAATATATTGTGAAAATCATTATACTCTGCTTCATAAGATCTGAGGTATAACTAATGTTAGGTAGTTCAGGGATGAAAGTGTCCATTTAGTAGTTTAAAATTTTCATAAATTTATAATAGGAAGATGATTGTGGGACAAAAAAATGGTAAGTGGGAATATTAACTTAGGCAGAGGGAATAATATTAAACTATTAATTTGAATTAACTTTTAATCTACAAAAAAATGAATAATTTAATACTCCACGCATCACATAAAAAACTTGTTTGACTTTCACGCAGTTTAAGAAAAGTGAAAACTTTATGGTAGAATTTGTTTAGAAGAGAGATAAGATTTGTGAGCTCCTCATTCATTTCTCTAAAAAAAGGGACGTTTTTTTGGAACAGATGAAAAAAAGAGTGAAGTTTTTTATGAGATGTAAGGAGTAAGAAACTATCAGTCAATTATATAAGAAATATTTTCATTAAAAAATTCATTCCCTATGTCCATTTTTTTTCATTTTAACTTGGCACGATTATTTGATAAAATCAATTCTGGTTGTGGTTTATATAGAAATATGAGAAACAATATCAACCATACAAATCTTTCCTTGAAAGGGAACAAGATACGTTTTTCTACATAATCTAAAAAAAGAAAGCAAGATGAAAAGTTTAGGGCAAAGGGAGTACGGAAAATAGTGGCCATCTATTTATTTACAAATTAACATCTTTCATTATTTTACAACTCTTAAGCAACTCCTTTATTTTCTAACAAGTCAATCTAAACATCTTGCATGTGAATATCTTCCGTCTCAACACCTTCTAACCCTTCTACCATACTGGTTCTATTCCTATTGCCTTCCAATACTTTTGGCCATTTTCATTCTAACTTCAAACAATCCTTCTCCTTTCATGCATTGTCACTGGGTAGAATTCACGCTCTTTTGTTTCTCATTACTTTTTGCACTCTAACGATGTTGATTAACAGAATTGTAAATAAGTTTTTTCACTCTTTTGTTGCTCTTCTTTGTGGATGTATGAATGTTTAATATTTGTTATTACTTTTAAAACAACTTTTCCAGATTACGTATGTTTGTTGATGTTCCTTTCATGGTAATTTAAAAAGTATTTTAATAACAATAAAGCAATAATAATATTGCTACTAATGATTCACTTAGCAAAAAACAAGATATGATTATTTCATTGTGTTTATTTAAAGTTTTTTATGAATAATTACTCCTTCCGCCCAACAATTTTCTTCCCACTTTCGTAATATGGATGTCCAAAAATTTATTCCCATTTCTATATTAGGCAAAGAATTCATATGCAACTGTCTGTTATACCCCTCCTAATATAAGCATATCACCCCCACTACTCCAACGAGTCACGACCTCCATCCATTCTACCAGCCTTATTCCAGTCAACAAAATCTTCTTCTTCCTCGATTCAATTTACCAACCTTACTCCAGTCCATAACATCATCTTCTACTTCAATTATTCCACTCCACACCCTCATCTTCTTCTTTGATTCTTCCTCGCCAATGCTTCAATTCATCTTCTTAACATTATAGTCTGAACAAATCCGAACAGATTCGAAGATCTCAATGGGTGATGCAGCGACAAAAAATAGGTGAAGATGGTGATAGGCGACGGAAGCAAGAGACTCCGATGAAAGCGCTGTCGGTGGATTTCAGTAGAGTATATCTAAAAATATCCCTAATTCACATTTCTTCTTCTCTTTCAGATGCCAATAGTTCCATCGAAAGCTTTTCCTTCGTTTCCCATTTTAGATCTGTATTTTAGCATATCTTTATTATTTTTGCGGTGATAACATTGTATTCTGGTGGCGGAGTTAGGAGCAATGGGGATGGCGATTTTGGTGGGGCGTAAGGAGCGGCGATGACTCCTTATTATAGTGGCGGAGTTGGGAGCGATGAGAATGGCAGTTCGGATGGCGGGGCAGCGGTGATATGCCATGTCCACTAATGGGCAGATCTGGTGACAGAGTAATGAACAACGATGCAGCATATCCAAGGAATGGGCAGATACACTAGAAAGCAGACTAGTGGAGACTAGCGAGAGGGATGGAGGGTCTTTTAGTAAAGTCAGTATTATTTTCATTTTACCTAAATCTTTGTGCCCGGTCAAACCGCGAAGACAATTGTTGGACGGAGGGAGTTTTTTCTTTATTATCTGAATTTTCTAATATTACTGAACTTCTCTGAAAAATTAAGATCTGAAAAAGATTTTGGGTTCAGCACATGCATTGTATGATTGCAGTGTTCAGATCTTGCTGAACTGTGGCAATATGGAAAGGCAATGGATCCTTCATTTGAATAACTTCACTACCTTGCGCACTTCCATGGTCTGAATAATCACGTGAACTGTGACTTGAACATGACACAGTATCACCAAAGCTGATGGGTAAGTGTGACAGAATAAGGTGAACAAAACAGGGTTTACTTTAGGATTGAGGGTTAATTGAAGAGAAATTAATTTAATTGGTTTGTATTCTTCAATTAATGATTTCCTCTTAAGGAGGCTTGGTGCACAAGTACTGCCTCGTGACATTGTCACCTTGAAGTCACAATATCGAGTCTTGGAAGTGCTTTCTTGCAAGAATGCAAGGCAAACCTTGCCTATATCACACTATTATGGTGGGACCATTCTCCCAACCCTCACTAAAGTGGGGATGCTTTGTGCAACGGGCTTCCCTCTTAATTAATGATTTCCTCTCTTAGCACTAAAAAAATTATAAATTAGTTTCTTGGGACAAAGTATTTTTGCAGGGAAAATTCCTTCGTGACTCTTGGAGCCTTGAAAAGTTCATTTAAAGCTCTTTTGTTTTCTCTATATTTCTTTCTGTTCAATAAACCAAGTTATTTTCTTAAAACTCTTTACACTATCACTTTGCTCTGTTTTTACGGGACAGATGATTACACAGTTGTCACCAGGAAGAAGTATATATTTCAATATAAGGAAGGAACAATAATAACATAAATATCCATTATCAAATCAGAATTTGAGATGCTTCAAATCTATGATAATATAAGTAAATATTCACAATGAGAGACAACGTACCTGTGGAATAATTGCACCAATTAAACTTGCACAAAGAGCAGTAACGGCTCCTGTTGTGATTATGTAGCTACAAAAATGGATAAAGAAAAAATGATGATTTTGGACGGGAAAACAGATCTATATATAGAGATTGACCGAATCACAGCTTAGTGAAAAGTACAATACTTACACAGCCCAATTCATGCCATAGTTAGCAAAAGCAGAGGAAACTGGTGTGTCACGATCTAGAGCATAGTATGGTACCAAACCAACGATGACAGCCGATACGAGCATATACAATATGGCACATATAGCTAATGCAGCACCTATACCAAGAGGAATATCACGTTGAGGGTTTTTCACCTGTCCTGCCCAATAGTAGTTAGATAAATAGCCATATACTGATATGCAGTGTTGAGCATTTGAACAACTAGGCAACATGGAGTTGGTGGGAGTGTGGGGACTATAAAGAGACCATTATGTATCTTTGGGTTTGGATAATTCAAACCATAACAAACCAAACATACCCAGTTTCATCCAATAAAATAACTGGTTTGTGAATGCATACCAAAGAATTGGGACCAAGGACTTGTTCTCTTTCCCCGAAAAATGTTATCTGATCCGTATCCTTTTTGTATGGTCTGATTTGGTCTGAATGTAGGTGATGATCTGGTCTAAATTTTTCTGGTCTTGTCTAAGTATTTTGTCTTAAATATAACATGTGGTATGATCTTAATCTTTCAGGTCTCATGTGACATTTTGGTCTGGTACTCTGGTCAGATTAAAGTAAGATTAATTAATAAGGAAAAGAAAATTGATTGAGAAGCACTGAGCATACATTTTATCTTATTAGTGATGATGTGATTCTTTAGACACGGGCCTTGAGTATCCCAAAATGACACTGGTGCTCCATTGAGCCCGACCCAAAGGTGTTTAGAGGTGCAAGAGAGTGGGTCCCTAAATGGCTTTGATGACACTGAAACAGTGGTGTCAAAAAATACTGTGATGTTATAATAATGCAGGTGAAACCACTCAAGCTAAGCAGTCTGGAGAAATAGAGATCACAAAGTGTGTTGAATCTTTTTTTTTTTTGAAAAAATGTGTTGAATCTAAAATAAAAACAGTGGAAAAAGAATAAAACAAAACTCCTCTACTAAGTACAAATAACAAATGTAGGCTTTCAGCTCATTTTTCTTTCTTGAAAAAAGAAAAAAGTGAGAATTGTGTCAAGCTTTTGTTTTGCTCTCAATTAAAGCAATGAAAAAACAAAAATGTGCCAGAACCAGCAGTCCAGCACAATTGCACAAACTAGAAGACGGAAATACTCCTCTCTCCTGTTGGATTTTGCCACCCATTAACTCAGTGGGACGGAGGGAGTATGTTATAAAAAATTGCTAGCTGATTGAATTTGTACCAGTTAAAGGGATGAAGCTTATGCATTCACAAGGTGGAATCTATTTAAAGATTTTGCGCTAATGGGACTGATGGGTTTTCCCAAGGGTCTTCTTCCGTAATTTTCTTTTTGTATGACAATATACTGAATATAGTGAGATAACATAACCTTAGTAGTCCCTTACTGAGCTTAGACTCATTACTTCCAAATTGAGAAATTATTTCCAACTATTTCTAAATTGAGATTCATAAATGACCAATTATTTCCAAATTGAGAAACTGCACGTGTTTTCGTTCTTCTTCTAATTCATTCCCTAACTTTGCTTGGCACTTAATTTTGTCACTGAAATTGCTGTCACCAGACAAGAAATGGCTTCTTGTGGGAGGTGGAGGAGATGATGAACTGGTGTTTAAAAGGATGAGAAACGTGGTGTACTGGTGTTTACCCCTGCTCCCTTCATCTTTCTTGCCAAGAAGTAGCACAAGTCTGAAGAGATGGCTTCACAAAGCAAGTCCAACAAGAATGTAAAAAAACTATCATTCCTCTCAAAGGTATAAAAGCCACGTGTTCATATATACTCTCATGGTATAGTTTTAAATGGGATTAGGTATTATGTTTCTTTTTTTAGGGTTAAAGAAACCTTTAAAAAGAATCTTAATAAGATATTGTTTGAGGGATTCCTAAGTCCATGACTCTTTTTGAGAATTTCCTCGTTTATTATAAGGTTATTAATAGATACTGTAAATAGTTTCCATTTCTAAGCAATACCTCCTCAGAAGTGCTGACAATAAGATCAAACCCGATGTAAGAAAAGAAGACAGTAGCAGAGCCGGCAAGCAACCCATTTACCCCAAAAGGAAAATACCTGGAAACTCAACATCTTGAATAACGTGTTTCTTATGGCATGTAACAGTTCATCAAATGGAATAAGAAGGCACCTTACCCACTTTGAAGACCATAACCTGCCCATCCAGTCTTAAATCCTAGATATGAACCAGCAATGACAATAAATATCAAAGCAAAGATATTTATTGTTGTAATAATAGTCTGCGCGAGAGAGCTCTGCAAATAGGAAATGCAAATTAATTGGATGTAACAACATAAAGAGCATCCATAAAGATTACATTTTTCACAAGATTAAGGAAAATTTTGTTACAACCACCTAAAAATATCTGTTTTGTTATATAACACCAATAAAAATATTTTGAATGAACGACCTAGTATTAACCACTTTCTTTAATTGACCCACCAAATCATCACCCCACTTGAAAGAATGTGTTATTCGAGTTAGCCCCGAGCTCTAATAAGTGAACGGATCTATCAAAAAAATAGATCCGTTCCACATTGCATGTTGATTAAAAAAATGTTTTCATCAAAAGACTCAAAAAAAATCTTTCATTACTTTAATATGCATTGTAAGTTGTATCTAAAAAAAGGTCGAACATACACCTGGACAGAGGATGTAACTAAAACTCGCTCCAACCCTCCGTCCCAAAAAACTTTACCCACTTTCCTTTTTTGAACATTCAAAAAAACTTCTCAATTATTTTATTTCCTTTTTTGGTAATTAACATGTGGCTCATAAGATTTCTCTCTCATCTAAACAAATTCTAACTATACACTTTTCACTTTTCAACACTTTTCTTAGACTCTGTGAAAGCCAAAATGAGTAGTTTTTTGGGGAATTGGGATATAGGGAGTAAGAGCTAAGGGATAAAACTGGAATAACACATTCTTTCAAGTGGGGTTACAATTTGGTGGATCAATTAAAGAAAATGGTTAATACTAGGTGGTGCATTCAAGATAATTTTATATTAAGGTAATATGTCAAAAAGCAGATACTTTTTAGGTGGTTATGACAAAATTTTCCGACGATTAAAGTTACCTCCTTAATTCCAGTGCAGAGCAAGATAGTTATAATGAGAACCAAGACAGCAGCACCAGGGTCAACCAAGATGCCCAAAAAAGTTTGGCGAGCCAAAATTGCAGGAAGTTTGTCTTCACCACCAAAAAATATGGCCTACAAATTGTAATGATGAGTAATATGGCACCTATAAACAACAAGAATGGGAAAATATAATGATTAAGGAAGAAAAATGAAATTAAGAAGTGTTTGTTTAAAGAAGCCATAATAATAAAAATTAAAAAGCGATCTTACCAAGTTTGGAGATATGCCACGAGCAGCTGCTGCACCACCAAGAGTGTACTCAAGTATCATAGCCCACCCAATTAACCATGCAACCCTAAACAACAATTGAAATTGAAATGACTTAAAACGCTTATTGGAGCTTATAGGCCATATGATAAAAATCATAAAACATAAACACTGGAACATTTTCTTCGCTTTTCATGGCTAGCCCACGTTCTTCCAACACCAAAATACCTTGAAACAATTGAAAGATAATAATAGAGTTTAGAAAGAGAGACCAGCTGAGAACAATGAAAGTTTCCATTACCCTTCTCCAATACAGACATATGAGAAATGATATGCACTCCCAGCAGATGGACAATGACATGAAAGCTCTGCATAACACAAGGCAGAAAGTGCAGCTGCCAGTGCACCTACAAAGAAAGAAATAGCAAGGGAAGGCCCTGTCTGCTCTCTAGCCACGGTCCCAACAAGAATATAAACCCCAGCCCCGATGGTTGCACCAACACCTGATTAAAAGAAGCTTGAGGACAACATTAGTGTGCAAAAACTCAAAATTGTAGATATTCTACAGCAGCAGCAGAAACAAAACCCAGTATAACCCAAACTCCAATTGAGTTACGCAACCTTACCCTTACAGAGAGTTTGTTTCCATTATACCCTTGATGGGTAGATGCATTTACTACCCAAAACTTCAAAGAAAGTAAGAAGCGAAGGAAATTTAATGTGTCGTCTTGATTTAGTATGTTATTTGCCCCTAGCTGAAACATTTTCAATAATGACTCTTTTAGCTCCATTAGAAATGGACGCAACATCACCTTACTTTTCAGAGAAATGGCTTTTAAGATCTAATATCTTTCTCCAAGAAATATAATGAAAAAGATCTAAGTTGAAGGATAGCCTTTTATTGAATTTAAGAAGCATTAGCTAAGCAATAGTGCAAGAATTAGAATTTACATATTAGAGAATCTGGTTAGAGCGGTAATATTAGTAATAAACTTAATATGATATACCATAGAATTCACTAATCCAATATTAGTTCCGGCACAGAACTCAAATGCCATTATATTAACAGTTACTATAAAAAAAAACAGCACAGGCTTGATAGTCGCAGCTGACAATTGTGGTGAACTTCAAAGTAATAACCATGGCTGAGATGGGATTTAAATGCAGTCCAGTGGGAGTGTGAGACACTTATACTCCGTAATATGTTTGTGGGAGGTAAGATGAAGTAGGTGAAGCTAAGTTTCTTGTTTGGGGTAAGACAATTATGAAGGAACCCTGGGCAGGTCGAGGTAGATATTTTCTCCAAGCTAAGTTGCACCGAGACGGGGAAGGGTACTTATACGAGAATGGGGTCAGAAGCGTGAAAACGACAACTCTTCAAAATTTTATAAAGGATTCGGGTGTCAGGACATCCCCAAGTACCCAACCAGGAACGTTTCGGGGTAGAAGCGGCATTTATTTGAAAATCTGTGTAACGTAGCCTCCAAGTCCTCATAGTTTGTTTACTCCGAATCGGCGGACATGGGAGTTAGGTAATCATATTTTGGCCATGAATCATGATGATGCAATTCCCACAAGTTTTGTTAAATGTTATTCCCTCCATCTATAAATATACTACACACATTATACTCCGAATCGGCGGACATTATTCCACTCTTTTCAAAAGAAATTTCAACCACACAATTTCCACTCTTCTTGATCCTCGTGCTTGGTTAAATGGGGCGCTATAGGGACAAAGTGAGTATATATTACAAAAGAGTATTAAGGCAAGATTAAATACTTACCTCCAATTAATTCATAACTAGCCCACTGACTTTTTATAGAACAATTACTCTAGAAGCGAACTTGATGGTATAAATTATACTGGTCTGCAGAGTCAAGATACTACGTATATACATGGGTGTGTCTCCAGAATATACTTCACAGAACCAACCATGATAGCCACTGGTTATCACATGGGAATCTTCTTGATGCATGCATTTTGCAACATGTCAAAACTCTCTCATCCATATAAAGGGTACAAGAGATTGAGAAGGCAAAATGTACCAAGTGGAGGGAAAACCAAATTCCTCCCATTTTGGTGAGGAAAATGAGAGAAAACCATTTTCTTTTCTTTTCCTTCAAAATTCCTTGAACCAAACATAGTGTAAGGGAGGAAAACACATTAAAGCTTACACACCCACTACATATTAACTCCTTTCCAGCTCTCTTCACTCAGTTTTCATCGTATTCCTCTTTGAGCTTTCAAGCTCCATTAATGGCTACTAAGCCAATACTCATCGTATACAAGTACAAACCCTCCCCAAATACTCCCTCCTTCCCACAATGAATTACACTCTCCAAACCACATGCAAAATCATGTGTCTTTTAAATTTATTTTATCTATAAATTGGTATATAAATGAAAAATACAACTCACATACTAAAAATCATGTCAAACAAACAAGAAGGCAAAACACACATAGTACAAATGGGAAATTGACTGATAATGCAATTTGGAAATCGCATTAATCGAGCAGTTAGAAACGAAACTGTTAGGTGTAAAGCAATTGAGAAGTGCTAACCCATGGCAATCAGGTCGAATACAGATAGCTTTCTAGCCAATTGCGTATGTTCTCCGTCGTCCCGTCTGCGGGATGTTGCGGAGTCATCTGGCTTCCGCCTTAACAGACATCGGAAAACGGCCAAATAATCGCCGCCTTTATCCAATTCAACCGCCCGGCTCGCCATCTTCTGTCTAAGGCTTCTTGGGATAACGATGAAAAATCATGCAGTTTTACTTCCCTCCTTCCCACTAATCTTGTTTCTATACCCCGCAAATAATGTTCCACTGCTATTATTATTACTAGTGCATCACCAGTGCGATGCACGGAGACATAAAGTTAATCACAAGTAAAAAATTTATTTAATTCTAAATATAACTACCAAAATAAAGATGTGTATTAAGAGTAGACTATGATCGATACCTATTATTAAAATCAAGTAAAGTAAAGAATGGATGTTTAAAATTAATTATACATTCTCGTTCAATGTATCATAAATGTATTAATTTATACATGTACTTGTTAGATCTTATCCTATTATTGATCTCGTTCAATGTATCATAAATGTATAATTGCACAAACCTAAGATTTTGACCTTCTGGTGTTAGTAATGTCCCAATTTTAAGATAATTTTGTCCATTCGGACTGAAAGTAGGTGGTCCTCCTCCATTCTTCATCGAATGATCAATTTTTCCACCCATTGAAGTGAAACAAAAACATATTATTATAAGCATGAATGTTTTTCATGAAATGATTACTCTTTGTAGTGGCTCCAAAGAATAATTCTTGTAATTGTTGAGGAGCTTGCACTAAAGATGGTAATGCCACCTTACCATTTATACAACACAATGGATATATGTGTTGTATTTTTTGCCATAACTCCTAAGTCTCTCTTCATACAAAAACCTAGCTCCACAATGCTCGCATTGATATGATGAATTATCATTATTAAAATATTCTGAAAATTATAAGATGTATTAATTAGTATTATATGGCATACATTAAGATAAAATGAATAAAGACTAATTTATAATAAAGTTGTAAGAAGGTAGACCAGTATCATCTAACATGCTAAAAGTTATAGGTACATTGCTCAAATTGTCTTTAAATGTTGTTGTTTCCATATGCCCTTGACCATCAAGTTCATTTAAAAGTGATTGTCCTACAAAGTTCCATGACAAAACACTGTATTAGAAAAAAATAATCTATACTTGGATTTTTGTTTTGTTATAAATGTGTGTATATTAAACAAATAATTATAAACCTTCGATGTTGATATTAGTCACATCAAGGTGTTCAGGATTTTGAGATATCGAAGGTTCTGAACAGTCACCGAGGAAATTATTAAGAATTCGCACTACACGGTGTCTCCCTCCTAACTTTCTTGTTTAGGAAAAACTCAGAATATAAGTCATATGAAATTTACCAAAGTAATTTTTAAAATCGATAACTTTGGTTAGTAATGAAATACATGACAAGATTACAAAAAGCAAACCTTTAAACTTTTCACAACTGTATAACACAGGCACTTTCAAGAAAATTACTCATGGTAATATGGTGGCATTCGTGTTTAGGTTGTTTTGAATTCTTCTGTGGTGTAAGATGTGTGGTACAATTAGCTAAGTCAAAAAACAAAAATAAAGTTATATTTCCATAGAATTTAGGACAATGTATTATAAATAAGAGGTATATGAACTTCAATATTATTACTACTTATAAAAGCTACTCCGTATTCACTTTGCCTCAAGTGGATATTTGTCAGTTTTAGTGTTTTTTCGGTTTAAAATGGCAAAGTTTTACCTAAAAAAACCTAAAAATAATATTATAATTTCATACAAAAAAATTTTTGTATTAAAATTATTATGCCAATTTTGGTTCAAAATATTATACGGAGTATTACTTTTCTTAATATAACATATACATTAAGGTAGTTGGATAATTACTGAGGCAAAGAACTTACTCCAAATCCTCTAAGCTAATATCCATGATTAGGGTTTCTCTACCATTAATTGGTTTGGTGAATGGAGGGTCACCAACAAAAAGTGCCCCAATTACATCTGTCAAGAAATAATATATGATATATTACTAAGATATATAAAATGAACTGATGTGTATTTGGAATTTAAGGGTATAAGAAAATGAGATGGGTTATTACCAAACATTGGAGCATTTTCAAAACTTTCCAACGCATTAATCTCTCTGAATGGTTTGAAACTGAAAAAATTCTTAGGGAATTGTTCATTCAATATTTCAACAACAATTGTCCTTTTACCAAGTGATAACTTAAACTTGATTGAAACAATGTGAGGCTTGTTATTTGATAGAATTGCAGGATTACTTATTCAATATAACTTCTCTTCCTTTAGTGTAGCTCCAAACAGTGGTATTAATATATTTTCGAAAAGTGGCTAGCCACAAAAGTCTTGAAGAAAAATACCTCATTATCGTAAAAAATACACTCCCGTGCATAAACTTCTCTGTTGGACATTAGATCGTAGCATCGAGCCAATCTTTATTTTAGATTGGCTCAAAAGGTAGATGGTTTTAAATCCATCAACCTCGTCCAAAGAGCAGGCATTTTTGAAAACTATAAGGCTAATTCTTAGGAAAATCAGTGTAGTGAAAGAATTAAGGGGAAGGGTGTCTTCTCTGCCCTTGGAATGGTGTTTATATACCCATTTGAGTGTGTTGGGTTACAACGATTTTATGGAAGGCATGTTTTCTATGTACTATGGTCTCACTGTGTTGGTCTTTACCATTTGTAATGGGTGTTTGTTGTGTAGTGCATGAACCATGTTCATGGCATGTCTTGTAATTGATTGATTTCATCATATTGGAAACTTTTTAATAAATAAGAGGCTGCGGGTCCTGATTGCTCTTCTGAATGTACCTGTGGGTCCGGAATTTCTGAATTAAATTGGCCATCGATTGCAATTATGTTTGGCCTGTCCTGATTGTAATAAAGTGATGGGTCATGTTGTAATGGATTTGTGACATGTGTCCCAAAATTGTTTCAGCCATTGGATTGGGAAAAACTGGCGGGAAAATTGGAATGCAATTGAGCTCTGATTTTCCATGGGCTTTTATATATATAGTAGACAAGAAAAATGCAAAATTGAGATGATAATCCACAACGAAACTTCAAAGTTTGGTATTAAAAAAAAGAAAATGCTGCTTTCAACCTACTTTGTACCCCATTTTGTACTCCAAAAGTTTATCCTGACAAAAAATGTAAGTATAACACTGATATAATACCAATTTTGTACTTACATTTAACGTCAGGGCAAAACTTTAAGATACAAAATGAGATATAAATATGAGGTACAAGTAGAATTTTCCTTAAAAAATATGACTCGTTACTTACCATACAAAAGTGACCTATCACATTTGGCCAAACTTATTTTTGGGAGAAGTGCTCACTAAAACTACCCAAGCATATCTCCCAAGAACGGGACAACGGCGGCGTATGAAGGTCGGTGTAATCATTACTTTTAACCCGTAGTATCTTTGTGATATATATGGAGCCACATCACTCACTTAAAAGATCAATGTACAAATTAAAAGTCATTTGGTTCTACTTTAGGTTTATAGTTAATAAATAGTGTTCTTGTGTTGTACAGTAATTGATACTTTGTTTACGCATTAGTCAAACTAAACAATGACCATGTGACACATCTCTTTGTCTCTCCATTTGTCCATAAGTGATCAACTTATAAGGACCTACTAGACATCCTCCACTTTATAAATAGTTTGTGATAGATAAAAAAGAAGACATTCGATCATACAACCGCAAAACTGAGTACATTCTTGAGATATATATTAAGGGATTTATTCAAGCACGAGAGATTTATTCCGATCTAAGTCATACTTTGTGTGTCCTTTACTTTTTTGCTTATTTCTACTTATTCGGTGACATTGCCCTAACTCGATCAATTACATATCTTCTCTACCCAGTGAAATTTACACAACCAAAACTTATTACTTCTCCACCAATCTTTCAACTTGGTTTATGTGTAAAAGGCAAAGGAACTGTGATCATTTTTCTAATCCAGTGGATAATGATCAATAAATTTTAATTACTTACGTGGTCCTCTGTAATTGAGATTTATTTCCAAGATAGTCGTTCGTAAATAATGTTACTCAAATGACTATTAATTAGGGGGTATTTTGGTATTTCTTATCTGCTAAATTTAGAATAAGTTCTTAAAATAATTATTTATAATGAAGTGCTTTCCCAAAAATGGTTTTTTCTAATTAAAGATGTGTATTTAATTCAAAATTTAAAATATTTTTTTATAAGTTTTTAGTAATTCATAGACTATTTATAGTCAATGTATTTTTTAAATTTTACATTTAGTTGTATAGAAATAACTTTTTCGAGAATATATTTTAAATTTAGATGATAAAAATACGAAAATACCTCCTAACTAATCATCATTTGAGTAACATTATTTATGAAAGACTATATAGGGAATAAATCTCAATTATAGAGGACCACGTAAGTAATTAAAACCTATTGAAGACTGAAATGGAAAAACACTTTATTACAAAGGACTATTTTGGAAATTTATTCTTTTTAATATTTAAAATACCACAGTTACCTTCACTTACTTTATTTATTACACTACACACACCTCATTTAATACACTGCACTCATTTTCATTTAGGGTATTTTGGTAAACTTTTGCCTGTTTTTTTAATTTTCATTAGAAATTACAAAAAGTTAAAATGAGAAGATCTTAGTGGACGGAAAAAGTATACCTAGCCTCGAATATCCAGATTTGTCCCAATGAGTCGATACTCTTAAAAAGGATCCTTAAGGTGAAGTTCACCTATTTTCAAAAAAAAAAAAGGTGAAGTTCACCTTTAGGCCCGCCCATTTTGGAGTCCAGTAAGTTCCTTTACACAAGGATCTCAAATTTAGAAGGCTTAGGGCTTATTTTATTCGTCTAATCTGATTGGTTCTGATCTGATCTGATATGATTGGATCTCGTGTGATTTAATTTAGTTTGAACTCGAATGCATTGGAGAGGTTTCAACCCTTTCTTGGTGAGTTTATGATTTCGTTCACTTCTTGTTTCAGCTATTTTAGGTGTACTTGTTTCAATATATCAATTTCTTATATTTCGTTTAATAGGCCAATGTTTTAATTTCGGTTTTGGACTCATATTTTTCTTGTTTTTTCAATTCTAATTTGCTTTTTTATATTCGTATTCAATTAGTTTCGGGAGGCCGATCGAATCTTTTTAAAGGCTAAATAGCTCCGGTACCCCCTGTGGTTTGAAAAATTGGCACCAATACCCCCTCTGTTTTCAAAATTTATTTCTAAAGTCCCCGTGGTTTCAAAACGTTGCACCCACACCCCCTCTAATTATTTTCTGGCCATTTTTCGGCAAAG